TGTGCGCCATATATGGTACACGTATTAAAAATATAACTATTAAAAAAATCATATGACGTAAACCAGGGTCATCTCCTTATGAACGCTTGAAAGAGTGTAGAGAAAAAGGATTATAAAAGCATATAATAATGTCATAAACTTTAATCAGAGGAATATAAGTAGTACAAATCAAGCACAAATTGTTCACTGGAGTTATCCAGGTTCGAGCACGTCGCACCACGGGCATACAGGCTATTCTAGGAGTCGCAGTCAAAGTGTTAATGAAATTCGAACGAAAATATTAAACTCGGTACATACTGCTACGCTAATTGGCGCGCCATGACCCACTTCATTTCAGTCCCAAAACAACCCGGTCAAGTTTGTCGATCACTCATGCGCAAAATCAGCGACTAAGTTGCTATAAAAAGGTCCAATTATTCATATTTGGGGTACAAAAACGCCTTGGCCTGTTCCTAGGGCTTCCAGACTACTTGACACATGCGTTCTTTGAAAAATTGTCCGTCCATGTTTCACTGATTAGACATACTTTGTATTAGATACTGCAGTAGGTTCGGCATAATTAAACGGGCCCACGAAACACTCATATACCAGAGCGTTTACGTTGAGACGAATATTTTTTACACTGGCATTGCACCTCTCTGAAATTCACCAACCAGAAACTGCAAAAAATAAACTAGCTTTATAGGCAGAACTTTGTCATTCCTTTTGGAAAAAAAAGGTTGATGAGTTTGCATAAACACCGAAATGCAGTGGATGCTTATAAACTATATAAGTAGCGACCGTTCCATTTGTGAGATCGACCCTGGTAGCTGCGAAAGTCCACATTAATTCGGTTGATTATGTTCTATCCATATCAACACTTAAACCTCCACTTTTGGCATTTGAAGAGTTCGGCCAATATTTGACAGGTTTTGCCTCATAATGCATGTAGACTTATATCCTGCCAGTTCTCCTCTGCGAATTAGAGACTCACATTTTACGCTCTGGACCTGATAAAAGCCTTAGATGCAAATGTTTAAGGGGCAGTGTGTTTTTTTGGGAGTGGTCTGCTCACGGACAGTGTAAGTGCATCCCATCGGCCACTGCCAACCCTTCGTTGACTTTCATTGTGTGCGGACCGTGGTCTCAATTGTCCCCAATATCCTTCCCCTCAACCTACTGTCGATGGTAGCTTGCACCGTCTTGTCGCAGACCAAATGTCCACAGTAAACTGATATGCATCTGTAGGTCTACGTGTTCTTCAAGTAACTTTTGGGACCGCAGACGTTCCAAAAGACAATCTTTTTGCATTCTTGTGTGTTAACCTTTGTGGACTGTGAATCTACTTGACTTTAATGTCCATCTTATTGTCTAGCTGACAAATATTTTCTCCGCCTTCTAGGTGAACGATCTGGACCTCATCTGCCGAGCTCATCAGCTCGTCATGGAGGGTCGAAGGTGGCACTTCAACAAGTCTGTCCTCACAGTCTGGTCGGCGCCAAACTACTGCTACCGGTGTGGCAACGTGGCTGCCATATTCAAACTGGACGAGAACCTAACCCAGGACTTTGCTATTTTCGAGGCAGCTCCTCAGGTCAGTCTCCATTCACACCACG